GCAAGGAAAAGATGGAATGCCGCTAGTACGCCGAAATCTTTATATTCAAAATAGATTTAACTAGTAGTCAAAATTTAGGACACTACTTTCTATCGAATGCAGAGCTTCACAGATCCCAAATTTGTTACGCGCTCATCTTTAGTGATGTCCAAACTCATGGAAGATAACACAAAATTGGGTGGGGGAGGCGGTGGAGGACATGCACCCAGAGGTGGAGCGGCGACAGCAATGCCCTTGCTAGACCATACTAATCCTGTAATATCAAATTGCTTGATATATTGCTGCTGTTCCGTTAGAGTTTGCACCCAAGCCCGAGCCCATTCCACATGTGTGATGTCCTTTTCCTTCCATTCTTTTAACACACGATTTGTGTAAAATTGACCTGCATCGTTCATTTTCTTAACTCAATCTAGACGGGAATAATTTAATTTAATAAATGCGAAATAATATTGAAAATAATATATGAGTTAACAAATTGGAAGAATCACAAAAAGCTTTAAATTACAAAGAAAACAGTGCAGTGCAATGACTTAAAGACAATTGTGACGAATTAAAAACCTATTTGTGCAAAATTTGTTACTTATTACGTTTTTAATATTTGAAAAATGAATTGAATAATATCTTTTCCCTTCTTCTTCTTCGTCTTCTATTCAGCAAATAGCAAACCGAAAATTTGCTGGGATATGTAAAAGAGGCCCAATGTGTAGCAACAAAGTTCTTTGTTTGAGCCTTAATAAAGTTAGTTTTGATTATGTAATTATTGTTATTTATTTATTTTATTATTTCTCTTCCCTTTTTTGCAATCTACTTCTTCCGCTTCTTCTGTCTGGTATTCACCAAATTAGCAACCGAAAATTCGCTGGGACGCGTAAAGAAGGCCCCTTATGAACGTAGAGTTCTTTATTTCTGGTCTTAGTAAAGTTGGCGTTAGATTTGGAATATAATGTTATTATTAATATTATTTATTTTAATTTTGCACGTTATACGTCCGACACGTTATTTTTTTTTATAGTTTTTATTAAAATATACATATTACTCGTTCGCCACGTACGAACAGAAGAGTGAGGAGTAAATTGCGATGAGTAAGATTTAATGTGGTATATGAGTATAAAAAGTTATATCAAGAAATTCGTGGGTGTGAGAGCAAAAAAGTGTACGTTCAGAAATTGACTGTAAACGCTTATATGTCTTGATGACATGATTTAAAAGAAGGAAAGATTGCGACCTATGCTGTTCAATTGCAAGAATGCTGTGCTCACGAAGACCACATATACCCAATTTGCGAAGTGTGGAATGGCGAAGAGAAATGGTAACATTCAGACAGGTAAAAAGGATATGATCAGGGGACCTCATATGTACACGACTTGTCAAGCACAAACTCAGAACTGTGATCTTGCAACAAATATGGTCACAGGCTATAAAATTGGTCACCCCCAACTTCATCCATATCATCCCCATGCACATCATCCATGTCTTGCGCAACCGCGTAATGTGCAACATCATCATTCGAGCAGTTTGCATAATGATGTTTTCTCCGCCTTATCTGGTCTAAGTTTTCTATCTTCGTCTGGTGACCCAATGACGTCGTTCGACATTGGCGAACCATTTCCCTCTGACGGCAACTCGGTACACTTTACAGGTGGCCAATAAATTACAACAACAACTTTTGTATCACCATCCACACCAACAACAACATTTTATTTATGGTAGGCTCCAACGAGTCTGATATGAGCGTTGGATAGGCGGTAATTGTAGCATTCGGTGCTACAACGTTAGCAAAAGAAATATTTGCCATCGTCGGAAATCCGGAAGGGAAACAGGGGCGCTGTGAAAAAGTGTGAAATCTTAAGAAATTTTTAAGAGAATAGGATTAAAAAATTTACATTTTCGCTAAGTACTTTATAGGAAGTGTTTTAATCTGGTAGTCGTACTGCCGGCCTCCTCGATTTCGGTTTAATGTGTTTTCAAAGAGTGGGCCCTCAAAACGAAAGTGTTCAGTGGAGCCTTCGGCCAAAGAGATACTCATAAATTGTCAATTCCCATTTTAAGGATACATCAATCCGTAACTTTAACAGTACCGTTTTAGGTTATGCAACACCAGTGAATGATTTTAGTTTAAAATCAATGAAAGAGATAAGGTTAGAATTATATATTATAGTGAAATTCACATGGTTATAATGCTGTTAAAATATTTACCATTCCACTATCATTTCCCCTGTTGGTTCCATCTGATTAAACATACTGGCAAATATAGGATGGCTGGTAAACAAGATATAGATTCTAATTGGCGAAGTGAGGTTAGACGGTACGGCAACGCGATTAACATTAACTTAACGAACAATACATTTATGCAATTCAATTGAATTCAATTCAGTATTTGTTCAAGGTGATGGAATTCTAAAAATTTGTGATTCTTTAAGTTTTGGCTCTTTTTGTCTTCCCGAAATTCAGTGTTTGGGATTTTCCATTGATGCTGAGTAAATCAACGTAGCGACCAAAAGTCACCGAATTTGTTATTAATCTTTCCTTGCAACATGGATTTGACGGGATCGTCTGGGAATACTGGTCGCAATTGATCGGGCGCGCGGACAACAAGTTCTTGGTTAACTTAGCTGTGGGCATAAGTAAAGCTCCTAACGAACATAATTTGAAGCTTGTACTAGTCCTACCACCAATGCGCAAAGAATTGGATTAGCTGTATACACACCTCCACGCTTTCTCCTTAATGACGTACGATTATTCAAGCGTACATCGACCAGGTGCGAATGCTCCGCTCTATTGAATTTCTTTAATAAGGAATGTGTGCTAAGCGGTCATTGATTGATGAGGCGCGTCGTTTGGCTTCTTGTTTTTCCTAAATTGATTTTTACAATTTATTTCTACATCCAAAAATTTTTCAAAAAGTCTCCATATGTATATATACGTTAGTATAGTATATATCTACTTCCGATATATCTTAGCTAAATATATCATATCATTTGTTCATTTTCACCAAATTGTAATATATTCCTTCCTTCTCTCAAATTCGTATTTTTATATTATAACTATAGAGGTAGAACAAAATTGAGTGTTCTAACACAATCAAACAAATATATAATCAGCATATGTACATAAGGATTAGCATATTAATAATTGAATGCTCCATGAATCTTGCAAAGAAAGATATCATGATCCTAGTGATGAACAGATTTCACCACTCTTCAAAATTGTGAAGACATGGATTTGCGGGTTGTGAAATAAAAAGAATTGGTATTCACAGAAGGTCAAAGCTTTAAATCGCCACCGGCTTTTGCTGAAATTTTACAACAAAGTCAACAAACTCAGCAATAAAAGCAAGATAAATGTTTTACATTTATCTTGCATTAGTGTAGGCAGCGGTTTGATTCTACAGGCATTTTTCTTTCTAATACTTCTTCCATTTTCACGAAGCGAAGAAGTACTCTTGATATCGTAGTAAAAATGCATTGTCTTGTTTATATATTTTTACAATTCAATTAAGAATTATACAGCATCTAAAAATGCATAAACAAGAAATATGTAAAAAGAACTTTTGTAATAGAA